CAAGTTCTACCATATGCTCCAGCAATCCCATTTTTGAATGTTTATCCAAAAGAATTAAAATCAGGATGTGGGAAACATTGTGCATTCTGTAATCACTGCAGCATTATTCACAGCAGAAAAGATGTGAGATGGCATAATATGTCCCTTAGCAGAAGAACAGATATATCATATGTGGTACTTACATACGGTGTCCATTATTCACTGTTAAAAGCCTGCAGTGTATGACAATATGGATGAAACTTGAGGGTGCTATATTTAGTGGAAAGAGCCAATCACAGAAAGATGAAAGTTGTATAATTCCACTCATGTCTAACAAATTAAATTCCTAAAAACAGAAAGCAGAATAGCTATCATCCGGGACTGGGAGGAGGAGTGTAGAGTGCTTGTACACTCCAGAGATCTTCTGTAGAGCACCATATCTATGGTTAACAATACTTTGTTGCACAAGGAAAAGCTGGTTATATATCCCTACTGCAATTACAAGTTTAAAAAAAAAAAACTGGTATGGCCCATGAGACTCTGACTCATTCATTCGTCAATCTCTTTTCTAGTTAGTTCCTTATTAGTATATCAAAACTCTGCCTGTTGATCTTGTGTCCTGCAACTGGTTTAAGTCTCAGTTTGAATGGGTTGTTGTTTAGTTGGTTATTATTTTTGTTTGTTTTGTTTTGGGAGAACCTAATGGTTTTCCAGGCTATCATGTCATTTGCAAGGAAGGACAACTGGCTCTCTCCTGCCCAATTTGGATTCTCTCTCTTTCTTCTTTTTTCTTCCTCCTCTTCTTCCTCTACTCCTCTTTCTCCTTCCCCTCTTTCCTCCTTTCTCTGTCCTCTGTCTAATTGCAAAGGTTAGGATAACCCATACTGATTGTCTTAGTCACTTTTCTGTTGCTGTGAAGAGACTCTATGACCTGGGCAACTTACAAAAGAAAACATTTAATTGGGGGCTTGTTTTCAGTTTCAGAAGATGAGTCCACGAACATCATGATGGGAAGCATGGCAGCAGACAGGTATATATGCAGCTGGAACTGGAGCTTAGAGTTTACATTCTGACCCACAGGGAGCAGCCAGAGAAAGCAAGACTGAGCTTGGTGTAGGGTTTTGAATTTCAATACCTACCCACAATGACACACCTGCTCCAACGAGGCCACACCTCCTAATCATTCTTAAACAACTTCATTAATGGGGAACCAAACACTCAAATATGTAAGCCTGGAAGATTGGGGGTTATTCTCATTCAAACCACGACAATGATAGACTCTTGATGACCCTTTTTCCTTTTTTTCTTCTCTTCTGATTTTCATTTTCCTAAACTTTGCTTCAGGTCTAATAGATTGTATCCAAATTGTTTCTAAATTGTATCTAAATGCTATGGCCATCCTTTCCAATTAGATCTTAACAAAATTCCATTTTGAGACATGGAGCCAGACTGAGTTCTTGTCTTGATTCTCTGTCTATAATTTTTAAACAGACTGCTTCTTTCAAAAATTGTATCAGTGAATTAACTTCTCCAAGAAGAAGGGAAGACAGGAATTTGATAGGAAAGATCCAGCACTCATCCAGAAGTGTCTATCCTCACAATCAGTATGTGCTTATTTTATTTTAGAACTGATATCACAGTGGTCTTGGCCTCCTAGACAGTCAATCCTCCCAAGTGTATAAAGATCACCAAAATTTAGTAGACTAATAATGCTTTTGTGGCAAGAGTGTAAGGAAAGAATCATTCTTATTTATTGGTAGTGAAACTACAATCTCTCCCAAGAGTAATTTGGCATTTCCATTCAAGCTCACAGAATACGTTTCCTGAAGATGAGAAGTTCCATTTCTAGAACTGCAGTCTACAGCTGCTCATACACAAGTGTGTGTGTGTGTGTGTGTGTGTGTGTGTGTGTGTGTGTGTGTGTATACAAAGGCAGAAGTAGGGAGATGATTGAGTAATAAATATTGTTCTTAGCAGTGCTTCAAATTGAAATCAATGAAAAGGCTTAAACTTGTATGCATTCACTTAGATAAAAATGGTCAGGCTGGAAGAGATTGTTCAGTGGTTAAAGCACTGGCTGCCCTTGCAGAGGATCCAGGTTCAATTCCCAGCAACCACATGAAGGTTCACAACTGTCTACAGTTCTAATTCCAGGTGATTCAATGTTCTCTTCTGACCTGGACAATGCATTCATGTTTATGCCCAGATATATGTAGGCAAAACAATCATATACATAAAATAAAATAAGGTACTTTTTAAGGTGAGGCCTGAAAGCATGCCTACAAGTAACATTATATAAATTGAACAGAGTGAAGTTATGAATTTAGAAATATACATGTATAGATACACATATATGACAACAATTAATGTAAAAAGAGGTAATGAATCTGAAAGAGAGCAAGGAGAGATATGTGAAAGGGCTTAGAGGGAGGAATAAGAAGGGAGAAATGATTTAAATATATTACAATGGCAAAAGATAAAAGAAGTAATCATAAAAAGTTGGAAAGGTGCACAAATAAACTGCCTAAGAATGGTTAATGAGAGTGGAAATGTGAAACAGCAGAGAACAGAGAAACACCATACAGGAAGATGCTGCTGCTGTTCTTCCATGGGAGGATAATTAAATTTGTTAAACATGAACAGGTTTTACCTTCCCTTTCAAATATATGATTACTGTAATAGGTAATGAAAAAAGTGTTTTGTCTGTCCACATAAGCCCATATGACATCATCACGTTAGACACTATCTGATATTATAAAACATCTTGGGATCATGTCCTTGGCTTATTTGCTTTAGTGTCACAGGAACAACACACATTCTCCTTCAAACAAAAGAACTGACTGGTGTCACAAGTTCACCCGGGTCAATTAGTAAAATTTGTGACCAGCATGCACAAAGCCGTGGGTTTGATTCCCAGCACTGTATAGAACCAGGTGTGGTGGCAAATGCCCATAATACAAGCACCAGGGAGGTGGGCGTGGGAAAAGGACTTCAAGGCCATCCTCCATTCTACAGTGATTCTGAAGCCAACATGGGCTACACAAGACTCAACGCAGTGTCCTCAGACTGTAAGGGATCAGGGCTGGCCCTTGGATTATCTGCATGCTGAGATCTGCTTCTTCTCACTGGAATTGTTGAGACCTAACTATAATACTGAGTCCAAATTGATATATGCAGCCCAGTCTGTGGAGAAGGTGGAATGAAGGCAGGCAAAATCAATTTTAAACTCTGTTTTAAGTTCTATAATTTGTACAACTTCAAGACACGGAGTAGATACCATACCCTACTAGAAAAATATATGTGCACATTACAGGAAAATTGGCTCTGAGTATCCATGGTACAGATTAACCAAAACAACAAAAAATTAACAATGACTCCATGTTGAGTATGTACTGTGGACCAATTACACTAAGTGCTACACATGCTTTCTCTCATAGAAGCTGCAGCTGATTGATCCTGCTCATCTTACAGATTAAATGCAATTTACAAGTGGCAGGAACAGGAATGCCACCACATTGGCCTTATTTCCTGTGCATCAAGTTCCCTACAGTAAGAGGCTTTTATCTTTACCTTGGCACCCTATGTGGCTTCTGAAAGAGGCAAGATCACCACAGGTGCCCTCAGTGGCAGAAGAAAAAAAAAATGGCATATCTGAATCTCCATTATGGAAGCTGCCTGGGCCAGGGCTCGGGATGGGAGTAAGGCTCTTTTCTCTTTCACTGTACTCGGTACTAGAGCTGTGCCAGAAGCAGGAGTATAAGACCTCCTTGCAAAGTGCACAGTCATCACTGCAGATCCTTCCCCCAAGCTGCTTTCATTTTCCAAGGCTCTCGACGCAGAAACACAACTTTTGTTTTTCTTCACTCTCTTTCATTTTAGTGTGCGAGCTAGTATTGCACTAGCAAAGAGAGCTGTGGCAGGTCAAGTATCAGACCCAGAGACACATAACAAATTTCTTAAGCTCTCAGAATCTTAGTTTCCCCACCTCAAAAGTGGAAGTCATACTCACCGCGGTTGAGAGCGTACCCAAGCACGAAAGCATTCTATGGAGTTTACCTGTCTTTTTGTTAAGCAATTACGTCACATTATGTGGAGCCAGGGAGCCATAGGAAACCTGCTTGACCCTGCATAAGTCACATGACTTCCCTTCGCCTCATTTGTCCACTGGGAATAGTCTCACCCAACAGACATGACTGTTTTGAGGACTGAATGTTCCACATAAAATAACTCCATAAGTGCCTGTATCCCACTCAAAACATAATAATCTCCTTCAGAAAGAATGCTGTGACCAACCGTAAAACACCAATGAAGTTCATCTGTCGTGAGTTAAAGTAACATCTCCCTCTCCTTGCCTTCTCTATTTCAACTTCCCTTCAGTCTCCTTAGGAGAATGTAGAATATTAAATGCGAACTCCTCTCCCCCACCTCGGACACACACACACACACACACACACACACACACACACACACACACACACACACACACACACGTAGCATGAATCTTAAAAGTTCTTATTAATAAAATCAAACCTGAGGCCAGTTATTGGGGTGAATGCTGGAAGATCAGAGAAGCAGAACAAGCCACAGCTACCTCACCTCGTCAGTTCCTCAGCTGGTCCTGTTTCCTCAGACTGGAAGCCTCTGAGTCCAGAATGAATCTCAGCTGAACTGCTGCTAGAAGCCTGAAAGCTTAACCAGCCAAATGCTTCTAGTTTCTGGTCTTCACGCCTTATATTTCTGTTTTTGCCATCACTCCCTGGAATTAAAGGCTCACTTCTTGGGATTAAAGGCATGTGTCACCATGCCTGGCTGTTTCCAATGTGGCCTTGAACTCACAGAGATCCGGAGGGATTTCTACCTCTGGAATGCTAGGATTAAAGGTGTGAGTGCCACCATTTTCTAGCCTTTGTATCTAGTGCCTGTTCTGTCTCTGACCTCAGATAAGTTTATTAAGGTGCACAATATTTTGGGGAACATAATACCACCACACACACACACACACACACACACACACACACACACACACACACACACATACACACACTTCTTTCAATAGGAGTAGACATCCCTACAACAAGCCTCAGCTGTCATGTCCTCCAGTCTTCCAGTCACAGATGGCTCCTCCCAGTGGCCTGCAGCTTCCTGCTTCAGAAGAGGCTGCATTTTGTCCCAGGTCTTAATCAGAAACACTGCCGATGCAATTCTTGGCTCTGACCACATGCTTGATTGCTCTCCAGCACAGCATTTGATGTGCAAGGGAGGAAGAAAGAATCCCTCGCACCCACAGCTAAAAATAATTTCAGAGGGCTGGAGGCAACTCAGAGGTGATGGCAGCTATCTCTGGAACAGTTGATAACCCGGCACTCAATTTCATGCATTTTCTTTCTATCATTTCCCCCCTGAACATTTCCTTCCATGCATGCTGAGGAAAGCTTTACAAATTAAACCAGGAAGACTCTAGGTGTCCTGTCATCTAATCTCTAGCCCAGGGTCATAACTGCCCTTTGCAAAGTCTCTGCTATGAGTCACCACAGATGGTTCAGAGATCTGTTCCCTTGTGCACAGCCTTCAGGTGACCAGCTCTGGAACTCAGCAGCTCCACATGAAATATGTCAGAATGGTCAATAAGTAGAATGGCTCATGGACACCTGGAAGAGTAAAGCAGGATGGTTAGGGTATGTGGTGCAGGACAGATACAAGTAACACCAACAGGCCACTGAACAAACAAATTATTTCAGCCATTTGGCCCTTGACTCTAAAGGGCAATGGCTTCAGCCTCTAACGGCTGTGCTTCAAGCCAGTCATCAGGTGGAGGTCATTACTGACAGCGGCATGAGCCTTATTTATGAAGTCACAGGGAACTGTCCCCATCTGCTATTTGGACTGCTGTCATTTTTACTAAATGCATATGCACAGATCTAGCTGGATTCTAAAAAGGCAACACATTCAAATTCTCTAATAAGAAATTATTACCACTGAATATTTATTAATTGCCAGGCATCAATTTTTTTAAATTTCATGCAATCATAGCAACCAGATACTAGAATACTATCTTTTTACAGATGGGAATATCAGTGAATGGAGGGTCTTTGTAAACACCTATTCGAGATAACAAAGCCACTTATTGCATGATAGTGGGAAGCTGATTCATTAAACCTTCTGTGGGAAGATAATGAACTGCTACTTAAAGGTCCCAGGTAGAGCCACACAGAGTATGAGCGTTCTCAAGGACCTGCTGGTCCTTTATCCCCAAATATGAACATCCGCTGGGTGATTCTCAACAGAGTGAAGGAAGCCAAAGTTAGGACGTGTCTACAGAGCTCGCTTCCTACCTATGCTATATCCTCTACCCCTGAAACAGGAACAGACTATCTCACAGACTTGTGGAGAATCAGCTGTCTATCTGTCCTGTCTGTGTGTCTCTGACAATGTTTCTCCTTCACTGGCAAGGCTAGGCAGTGGCCACTGCAGGCCATCGGCTCAGGGTCTCGGGCAATACAGTACAGTGGTACAAAGCCAGGCTGAGGCCTAAGCACACATGTGTAAAAAGTTTTTAGTCAATCTGTGCTCAACCTCATTATGAAGCTCTCTCAGATTAGAGGTTGCCAGTGTAGGAGCACCTAACACAAAGTAAGTGTTTGTTGTGTGTTAGCTGTTTGCTATTCAGATGTTGACTCCTTCCCTGCTCTCTTGCCTCAAGCCTAAAAAGTCAGGCTGTGCCCTCTGGAGGAGGGCCTGAGATAGTCCAGCTCCTCCACTGTGCCTAGGTTGATAAAAATTATTAAGGTGACGCAAAAGAAATAAGAAGCTCAGTCTGGATCTGGGACTTAGCCACGCACTCCAGAAAAACAACTAACATGTGGAGTACCGCCACCACCAAAAGGATCACAAAGCCAGTGACAGTAAAAGAGTGCCAACGTGGAAGGGTCTGCAGGTGGCTTCTACTAACAAGGACCATGCTTCTTACGTAAAAGCATGATAGACAGCAGCAGCCATGGCTGTGAGTCAAGTGGTTAAGAAATGCCAGACTAGCACTCTGTGGACTCCAGTGGCCTTTTCCTCAGGGCTGCAGATTGACTGTTTCAGCTCTCAGCGTGAACTCTGTCTTGGAGGCGGTTGAATGATTGCAAGGGACAATTTCAGCATCTCTGTGACTTCTATTAGATAATAGCATCTTTCAAAACCCCTCTGAAGATGTCCTGGTAGAATCTCATTAGTCTGAACTAAGTCGCACTGGGTACCCTTAGCTGCAGAAGAAACGAGAAGCTAAATATTTAGTCTTTCCAGGTTTAATAATGGAGGATCACAAAAGAGATTATGCCAACTTGACCACAGTCGCAATAGTGGTGGAAAGTATTTGAATTCAGGAGATATCAAGTGGATTTTTTTCTGCACATATTTTATTAACATATAACAATTATGCAAAATAATGTGTTCCATTATGTTCCATATACTTTTCCATATATGCCTATTGTGTACTTTGATCATAATAATCTCCTCTACTATAATCCTTTCGACCTTTCCATTTTTTGTTCTTCCACACCTCTAATTATCTTCCTCTGACTTTTGTGTCTTGTTCTCCCCACCTAAATTCCACAAACAAGAGAAAGCAAGAAATATGCATATTTGTGGGGCTGGCTTATTTCATTTAATATGAAAATCTCCAGTCCTATCCATTTTTATGAAAATCACATTGTTTCATTCTTCCTTATGGCCGTGAGACAGAACCTGCTGACTGGTTGTACATAGAAGATGAGGAAGAAGGAATAGTCAAAATGAACTCTAATTTCCTAACTCAGTACATTCACTGAGACCAAGAGTCCTGAAGAAAGGATATGTTTGGGAGATGTGAGGCCATCTTTGATACTTCTCCACAGAGATGTTAGGAGCCCACAATAGTATATGAAAGTCAGAGAAGCTGTTTAGGCTGATGATGCAGGAGATAACCACATGTGACCAGTCCTTTGTATAAAATTAGAGCTGTCCACCATTCTTTACTGGTGACTCTGTTCTCTTGTTTCTTGGTAACAGTGGTTCTTAAACAGGAGCAGTTTTGTCCTCTAGGAACTAACCTTTGGTATCATGACTTGTGATGGCCACTGATGCCATTAAACATTCTACAATGAAGAGGACAATCTCCTCCAGCGAAAGATTATCCAGTCAGTATTCAGTAGTAGTGAAGTCAAGAAACAATGCTCTGTGGTAAACTCATCTCTGATCCTAACTTTCCTCTTTCCGAAAGACCCTCCTATGTCCCATGTTCAAGGGTCCCAAAGCTCCTGATGTCTAACACAGCTGCTATCTTTACCTTTGCTGTCTAAACTGTCAACAATGGCTTCCATACCAGCTCTTACCACATGGATTCCTCTGATGATCCCACATGGGGACAAGTACTACTGTTAATTGGACTGAAGCTAAGGTCAAAGCCATCCATGGACCAGAGTCCCTTGGCTATACTTTAACACTTAATGCCAGAATCTTACCAAATATTCTTATAAATAAATTCAATCACTATTTTTTGAGATCTGTATTTAAGATACATCTTTAAATGTGTTCCTACTTTTAGGATATGCACAAAGAACTGCTATTTCTAGACACATTATAATATCCCCCGAAATAACTAAGATCAAAAGTATGCATAAATTACTGAAATCAATGCATCAGAAGCAGGAATTTGGAGATGGTTGAAGTTCATTGCTCTGTTTCTGAAGCTAGTCTGACCAGCCATGCATCCTATTAGTAATACTTGGTTGCTCTGTGACAGCAATTTCATGGCTTTTAACCATTTTTAACACTAGCTTACTCTGCCTATAAAAGCTATATGTTGTTTCTCACAAAGCTTTATTAAACATGTTAACTTCAGAGACACACTTTCAGGATAAACCAATCAAAATCCAAACTCCTTCTTTTTAGTATGAATCTGATGTAGTCTAAACATAATTCTTAAGACCTTTTTAAAAAGCTCAGCTACACATCTAAATTCATAGGTTCTGATCCAGTGACATGGAGACCAGAAGACCATTAAAACTAATTGAAAGGGCTAGCCCATTTTAATATTAACATTTTTTACTTTAAAAAAAATAGTAAGATGGGAGGTGCTAGGTGAGCTTGTGCCAAGAAGAACTACTCCAATATTCATCAAAACATGCATTAGGTTTCCAAACTACACTTAGAAAACTCAAACACCCCAGATTCTCTCATTTTGAGATAACCTACATCCCAGCACCAGCAGGCAACATGATTTCTATCAACTTCAGCTCATAGTGAAAACTTGGAGCATGTCCTTAATTCAAAGCCACTGAGACATCTTCATTGCAATGCTACTGAATTTAGAATCAACTAAAAAACAAACCTTTGGATGCCTCTTCAAAGGAGTTTCCAGAAAGGGTTAATTGAGGAGAGAAGACACATCCTGGATGTGGATGAGACCACATTTATGGCATGGGGTTCTGCACTGAATAAAAAGAGAGAACAAGCTAAGGATTAATATTCATCTCTTTATGCAGACGAGACCACATTTATGGCATGGGGTTCTGCACTGAATAAAAAGAGAGAACAAGCTAAGGATTAATATTCGTCTCTTTCTGCAGATGAAGTGCATCTAACCTCGTGTCCCTGCCAAGAGGACACCCTACCACAATAGACCATGTCCCTCTGAACTATGAGCCAAAATAAACCCTTACTCCCTTAAGTTGCTTCTGTCGTGTGTTCTGTCCCAGCAAAAGGACAGGAACTATATAGACATCTATACTCTTGTCCTTTTGAACAGTTTTGTCAATTATGGGCAGCATATGTGACAGTATATACCAGATAGCCTACATACATAGTAAGTTATACCACCTACTTCTTTATAATCACGTTTCTGTAATTATGCTCTACAGCATTTGAGTGACGGCAACATCACCTAAGGATGCATTTTTCAGAACGATTCCCTATTGTTAAGTGACATACAGCTGTATTTAAGTAAGCATTTTTTGACAAGAGGAGGTAGAAACTGCTTAAAAGGGAAAAGCAGTTTGGCCAGACCACAACTACTTTATTTTACTGGTTTTTAGCATTATTTTTTATTGTTTATGGCAAACTGGACAGGAAACTCAACAGGGCATTGGTGGCCCAGCCCACTCAGCAGAAAGACAGAATATTTGGCAGCATGTTCACAGAAGTACATGATGGGATTTCAAAGGTATTTTTATCTCTCCTAAACCTATCATACGTACAAAGAAAAATGGGAGAAGAAAAATGAGAGAAGCAACACAACAACTTAGAACCCTGGTCCTTGCAAAGTCTGACTCAATTTACCCCCCAAGCCTCCTTTTTATCCCTCCCATCCTTGCTGTGGGTTTCGCCAAACACAGTGCTCCTCGTCTGTCTGTCTCCACCTTCTCTCCCTTCAAGCAGATGGCTTCCTATTTATCCCTGTGGCTGTCCTCATGAACCTCCCTAGCTATCTCATGCTAACCTAACTCTTAGATATAACCTCTTAGTTCTCAGGAGAAAATGTAATTTTAAGTAATAGTTAACCATCTAAATGTGTTTGAAGATGTCTTCCTACCAGAATTGACATCTCAAGCAAACAGGATTATCTTTGTATTATCACCTCCTTCCTAGAAGTTAGCACCATACCTGGAACATGGTACTCAGTTTGTATTGAATGAATTATTAAAGATAAGCTTTTGGGTTGTAGATACAGCTCAGTGATAGAGTACTTGCCTAGCATGTGCAAGGCCCTGAGTTTATCCCCAACATCACATGAAAGAGCAAACTTTGAATTATTCTTAAGCCTGTCTTTACTGTGTTCATTTGTTTCTTTTCTAAGTACCTATAGTTGAACAGAGCTCACATTAAAAAGGGGCTCCACTGTCAGTCAGGCAAAAGAGACACTCAGATATTTCCCATGGGGCATAATTAGCTAATGTGCATATAAGTCCTAAGCTTTGGGGGAATTAACAAATATAAGCCTTCTTGGGTAAGGACAATGATTAATTTATGGAAATTAAAGATGAGGAATGTCAGTTAGTTAATCTAAAGTCAGAGAGGGGAGAATTTTGTGCTGCTGAGAGTCTAGTCATTCATTTGTGGCATGTTTAAGTGTTCCAACCATTTATTTATAATTAGGCACAGTGGGGAACTAAAATGAATTTTCCTCTACAACGCTTTGTTGGCATTTCTGTAAAAGATGGGCACAGTCTACTGCAAAAGCTTAGCTATCTTGCCTGTCACATGATTAACTCTACATGAGGGAAGCATGCCCAAATTCCATCAGGGGCCAGTTAGCACCTGAGTGAAGATGCCTGAAAGGGGACTCTGCAGCCAATTGGAGAACCCACACCCATCAGAAGGAGCACACTTGACAGGTGCCGTGAAGAACAATGCACAAGGACCTAATGCATCTGTAAAATGTTCTCATTTATAGACGAGTCACTTTTTAAGTTACAGTTTCTTCAAAACTCATATGTTGTATACTTATTATTTGTGTGTGTGTGTGTGTGTGTGTGTGTGTGTGTGTGTGTGTGTGTGTGTACATAAAGACGGCCAATCCACTAATCTCTCTCCAAAAACCTACCTTTGCTTGAGAGTGGAGCTAACCACATTGAGAAATGCTTGAAGCAGCCCCAGCTTGGTGGAGCAGAAGAATGAGGCACTACCAGGTATCTTCTTTGCTCCAAGTTCAAAGAACATTGTTTCCCCTTTCCATCACCAACAACTTGTCAATCTTCCCTCTCTCCCTGAAAACACAGTTGATCGCATCAGTCTTAATTTATGATCTGGATGGAAAGCATTCATCCTAACATGAGTGTGTCCAAACAGAAGTACTTTGATGGAGAAAACATGGCCACTAATTTCTTCCCTTTCCCATACAGCCTATCTCTTGAGCAGAAGGAAGACAGTCATCGTGCTGCTCTTCATCCAACTTTTCATTTGTGTGTGTCAAGGCTCTTTAAAACAGAACACAATATGTGAATGAGACAGGTGTGCATCACCAAGAAGTAGACTAAACAGGTTAAGATATTGCCACTTTTGCTTCATGCCTATTTTTTCAGATAAGTAAAATCCTATAGATGAAGGTAAAAAAAAATCTCTCTGCTTTAATTACTAGTCCTTTAGACATCCCTTTTCTTCAAACTATGTTTTCGTTTAATAATTTAATGTTTATTTACAAATTTATACACTATATTTTGATCATCTTCTTTCCCCACCCCAACTCTTCCCAGATCCTCCCCCACTTCCCTACCTACCCACTTTATGTTCTTTCTGTCTCATTCTTTCTCCCTCCCTTAAATAAAAATCAAAATAAACAAAAAGACTTGAATGCCAAAACCAAATAAAAATAAGTACACAATAAAAACAAAACATAGAATGTGTTTTCTGTTGGCCAACAACACTTGGGCACAGCATATGCCCTGGAATGTGATGAGATACCCAGTTACACTCCACTAGAGAAAATTGATTATCCCCTCCCCAACAGGTATCAATTACAAATAGCTTCTTGGTTCACACTGAGACTTTGTGTCTAGTTCCCATTCTCCTTGCTGAGATTTTGTCTGGTTTGAACCTGTACAGGTCTTGTATACGCTGTCACAGTCTCTGTGCATGCATATGTCCATCAGTCCTGTTTTATCTGGAACACACTGTTTCCTTGGCATCATCCACCACCTGTGACTCTTCCAATCTTCCACCTCTTCTGCATAGATCCCTGAGTTTTGAAAGGTGTGTGTTGGGGGGCAAGGACGGTGGTTGATAAAAACATCCCATTCCAAAGTCTCTCACTCTGCAAATAGTCTAGGGTATCAAAGTCCAATCTTTCCATCACTTTGTTTCAAACTACATATATTTAGGAAAGACACATTTTTCCAAAATTGTTCTATACAACAATGTTAGTTTCTGAAGGAGTAAGATGAGAAGATGAAGGTAAGAGAGAACCAAGAGAGAAATTTAACACAAACCAGGTAATTATGAGTGGAAGACATCATAATTGCAAGTGTTGTGGGCCATTATGCAGTAAAAATCACTTTGAAATAATGCAGGAATTAGTTGTACTGTGGAGAGCAAGTGTATAATTATGGGACAAAGGGACAAGTCAGTCATTCTGGCGTTAGGCATACAAATCCCTACAGTTAGGCAAATTTTTCCAGAGAAGCTATGAAGACCAATTCATAAGCTGCCAACAATGACATGCCCTGGGGTGCTATCAGTGTCTATCAGAAATGGGTTCTTCACTGATGGTCAACCTTGTATCTAAGAAGTCACTCTCTGAAAAATACAAAGAATAACATTTTAAGCTATCACTGTATTTGTTATGTGATTTTACACAACCGTGTTTTCACCCGTTAAGTGGATATTTGACTCTTTCACATCCCTAAAATTTTATATCTGTAGTTTCACCGCAGACTTCTTTTCCAGTGTTCTTATTTTAAATGGGAACACTATTGGTCAGCTCCAGTTGCACTGGAAAGAGATATAATACCACGGGGCCAGCTGTTTAACTCGGTAGAGAGACTGTGTAACAGGCACGAGGCACCCAACTGACCGCCAGCATCAGAAACAACTACCAAAGACGGGGTCGTTTAAACAACAGAAATGCTTTTCTCACAAATCTAAAGGCTGCAGACTTTGAGAATCTTAAAGACGTCAATAAGTCTGGTGCTGTTCTGAGCTTCTCTGAGCTTGCCAGTAGCCAGTGTCTTTCACACAGTGACCTCCTGTTTACATGTCTATGTGTACAGAGAGGAATAGTGATTATGACTTATTAGACCCCACTCTGACCTCACTTAAGGGTTAGTGCTTCCATAAAGACTTTTCTCCAAAATAGCAACACTGTGGGCTTGGCATATGAATTTTGAAAGAACACAAACATTCAGTCTGTGGCAGGGTGCCTATATGAAGTCAAAGTTGCATTATTCTTAAGCCTGTGATAACCACTTCGATGTTTTTTGTGGGTTTTTTTTTTTTTTTTTTTTTTTATGAACAATGCCACTAACACAAAGGACTGACAAGAATTTCTCCAGTGTGAACATCTAGGAGGACCACATCCCTTCTTACTCCAAGATGTCATTAAAATTCTGTGCTGATTCTGAAGGGGCTGTTTGTTTTCTAGGGGTCAAAGGGACACCAAGGAACAGGCTGAAATCCCACATCATTTCCTCTCATAAGACTTTCCAACAAGATCCTTCTGCCATACGACCCTCTGCCCCGGGTGACATGGTGACCCCTTCCTCCCTGTAGCTCCCTCACCCAGCCTTATGAATTAGGGCCTTGCCGGAGTCACCATCTCAAAGTGGCATTGACAAGAATGGGTCATGAGTCTGATTCATCCTCTGACATTCTGCATTGCCACCAAGCTGGCATGCTCCCTCGGTAGCATCAAGGACAGGCTCTATAGCAAGGATCTGAGTGGCTTTGCACACTCTGGCCAGAAGGCCTTTGCCAGTGACAAGCACAGAGGTGTCTCTAGAGGAAAAAGGACCCTAAAAATAAGGCACCCCCATAATTAAATTAACGTGTGGGACTAACTGGGGATTTGCTGTGTAAGCAGCCGAGAGTAACATGAAGAAACAATAGACCCATGGGCAAAGTAGAAAGGCTTCCATGCTCTGTGGTAACTCCTCAGGTCAGCCCCTTGCCACGTGGAAGCTCAAAAGCTGGCATATTTGAATTACCAGTGACTTCATCCAATGTAGTAGAGGGTATACAAACCCAAAAGATTAGCAACCTCCTCCCCCAAAAGCCCAAATCTAAGTTCTTGGAGTAACTCAGGGCCAATCAACCACTCAGGATTATAGTCATAGGATTTGAGCAGCAAATCCACTTCTTAATAGCTGTGAGATAGGTTACTTAACCTCTGACCCTGAGTTTTCTCTTCTACAAATTAGGTACAATTGCTGTGGATATCGCTCGATATAAATAAAGCACTGATTGGCCAGTGATCAGGCAGGAAGTATAGGTGGGACAAGGAGAGAGGAGAATTGAGGAAGGAGGAAGGAAAGGGAGACCGGCTGGAGCCACCACCAAGACAAGGAAGATGTAAAGTACTGGTAAGCCACGAACCACGTGGCAAAGTAAAGATTAATAGAAATGGGCTGAATATAAGAGTGAGAGCTAGACAATGATAGGCCTGAGCTAATGGCCAAGCAGTTTAAATAATGTAAGAGTCTGTGTGTTTGTTTTATAAGTGGGCTCTGGGACTGGCGGGACTTGGTGGTGGGAGCTGGAGAAAAATTCTCCAGCTACAAATGGCGCCCAACGGCTTGAGTTTCCACCTTAAACCTGAGAATATTTAATAACCAATTCTAAACAGAGCCAAAACCAGGTTCCTGCTTCATGTCTCATATGGCAGCTAGACGCCGCAAAATGCGGGTTTGAACTACTGGCGGGTTCCTGACCAGCAGTATGGCGGAAATAGGGCGTCTGCCAGCAGCACATTACGCTGTGTGGTAGATGTAGTCTTTACTAGTATATGTATATATATATATATATATACATATACTAGTAAAGCCACAGCACTGTTTCAGTCTTAGAATGCTGCAGTTCAAAGCAATAGGTTCACAATAAGACTGATTCAGATGGAATAGTTTACAATGTGTGTAAAATGTACGTAGGCTTAAAAGAGAGAAAAAAAGAAATATATACAGTTATATAAACAAATAGATAGTTTTTAAAAATAAAGTCTTTAAAGAAACATTAAAGGTAATAAGCCACGTAAAGATGGCTATCACACAGAGAATCTGGATTATGTTGTCTTTGATATTCGTAACTGAAGAAAAACATTTGATTGTAAAAGCTGTTGAGTTATGCCAAAATGTAAATTTTAAAGGTACCTTGACTTCAAAATTTGGATATAAGGATATGTTGCTTTGGAAAAGAGTCTCTGCTTTTGTTCCCACAGAAAGCCAGAGGCTATGGATTTGTTCCAGATTAAGATACATCAGGTTTGACCAGCCAAGACCCCCTGAAAGGTCTCCAATGACACCATGGCCCAGATGATCCAACATCCAAAATGGTTTCAGGCAACTGGCTCAGATGATACACCCTTATGGACTACTCCATAATCCTAAAATTTTCTTTGTGTTCCCATAAGATACAGCGCCCCCCTCCAGCAGGAAGTAGTAAGAGAAGCTATGCCCAAATTCCCAAATATACCAAGCTGGCTTTAGAGATGGAATTGGCTCACTCCCCTTCTAAACCCAGACATATTGCTTAAAAAAAAATGGTTAAGAGATTCTTACGTCCCAAATCAGAAGAACCCTCTGGTGTGGGACAGAGAAAAACCAATATTTTTATTTAAAGCAGGTTGATTATAAATACAATATCTTTCTAAAGAAAAAAAGGGAATAGTTTAGATATGATAGGATGAAAGGGTAGATTAAGGAACCTACTTTTAAAGAGTAACAACTTGTTTAAAATGTTTTACATTGCTATAGATTTTAGTTTATTGATACAAATTTAAACTTAATTTTGTTATACTGTATACATATTTCTATTCTTGTTTGAGGTATTATGTTTATGTAACTCATTTAAAATTGTAATGGATAATTAAAAAATAGACTAATATTTAGTCATCTATGATAATCATATTTGTAGCCATGTTAGTTAAGTCTTCTAGGTATACATAGATATATTTCAGATAGATAGGTAGTCTTCAAACACTTCAAAGACCTACAGAATATGGCATTTAAAATGTTTTAAAAATTTAGACTTTCTGGACAGTGAGACATGTCTGCT